TCAACCAAATGTTTCGCAATAGAGGAAGATTTGTCTATCCTTGATCTTATTTGACCATTGGAATTCATTTGTTTCTGCAGCCATTTCGGTATGTGTTCCACCACTCTCACTTGCAGATTACGATTGCTCCTCTCTATGTGGACGTTTCCGCACATATATCTAAACTGATGGACACAATGGGATGTGACACAATCGCTTACGTGCTGTTTGGGTTTTGGTGGAACATAGATCTTGTCGTCTCAATAATGACAAGTTGGACTGCATAAAATGTCCTGTTGATGGCTAATTTAAGTCTCCGTGTCAACATAAAACTATTTGAGTCGCCTTTAAATGTAACATAATGTAAACTCTTTTTTGGGTGTCAGAAGCGTCATAAGTTTAATCGTATTGCAAACCTTCTAGCGGTTTATAAGCTTCAATGAATAACCATTATTCATTAATTCTCTACTTCAGTGGTATCGCCTTCACAATTATGATTCATTCGATTTAAAAATCGCTTCATTAATCCACGTTTGTAATGAATTGGGTAGTGACACTGAAAATTAAGATATTGCACTGTCCATATCGGCTTTCTATATACAGGATGTTTGGTGGAACAATCATCTCTCCTACTAATCACTATGTCTAGAAGAGGAAGTTGGTTATTCTTCTCTTCTCATGTACGAGAAATATGTTTTTGACTTATGTTGAGTTCTTTTAACAAGCGGTTCACATCTTCACGTTTATCCCCTATGATCATGATGTCATTGACGTACCGTTTTTGCAGACACATCTTTGGAATTGAGTCTTCAGATAGATGTATGCAAATGTAATCAGACTGTTCGAAATATATTGCACAAATCTATCACATAATTCTGATAACCTTCTTCTGCTTATGGCGTCACCGAAATTTATCAAAGGGACTAATTGTTTTAAATTTCTGAAATGAAGACTCCCTACATCATTTAAGCTGAATAAAAACGTTGAAAGACAGTGTAATTTCTGCAGAATATAGGTAATTAAAAAATGAACTTAAAAAACTAGAAAAAAAAGATTATTATAGTGTAGGATAAACGAATAGCATTCAGAACATGCATTTCTTTCTATTTGGGACTCATCGACCTAATTTTCCAACATCCCACTGCTGATGCCAACACTCAAACTGTGGAACCGTTAAGCTTCCTCATAATGATCTAAATTCATTTCATTGTAAAATGGAATGAGATGAGCAAAGTACATGTCATTAATTAAATACGTATATGATAATACTTTAAATATTTTTTTAAAAAGGGTCAAGAGGTCATATGAACGATTGATATTAATCGATAAAGTACTCATGGATTGAACTCCACTTTCTTCTCATTCTTGTAATACTAGGTTTGAATGTAATATCTTATAAACATACAAGGTAAAAATTGGTTATAGTCAGTATATCTTGTACCATGGAAGCAGATTAACTGGTAGATGTACACAGAGATGAGCAGAACGGGTCACTAATCTTTCAGCCACATAAAAACTAGCTTTTTCTTTATAAAGGTCAATCGAAGCGTATTTACTTAAGATATATCCATCGAAATGGAGGCAGATATCAAGAGAATGAATAGCAATTAAAAACAACCGGAAAAGATTGCCTAGGACAGATTTCAATGAAGGATCCTGTTGAGAGGTTATATGCTCCTCCACGAGGGGTTTTAGTAACTAAATAAGTGATATCCATCGAATCACCCTAGATAAGTATTTATTAAGTAAATCAGATATCCGTTCACTTCTGAATTTCCTATTTCATTAAATATACATTTTAAAAGCTCATTTTCTGGATTATTTATTCTAAATATATTTTATATATTTCTCAATGAGGAGTCCCACAATAGGACGAAACGACCGTTCAGTCCTTCCAGGTTTTCCATGGTGGTCTAGCTTCACTTGACTCATGATTTCATCTATATAAAATTTCTCAATGGATCAATTTTTTTAGTGGTTACAAAATAAAATTGACAAATACTCTTTTTTTCTCTCCTTATTTGTACACCTTGATTCCAGATCAGAAGGGGTTTTGAGGAGATTTCAGTATTTCCATAGTTGAAATCATTAGTCAATTGAAGCTAGAACACCATTGAAAACCTGGAAGCACTGGACGGCTGTTTCGTCCTATTATGGGAATTTTCAGTAGTGAGCATCCACGATCCCGCCCCACGAGATTCGAACCCGGGATCTACCAGTCTCGCACCAGAGCACATAACTGATAGACCACTGAGCCGGTATCCGATGGTGTTAATGTCTAACTTCAACCAATCCACGATGTTTTTGAGCAACCATTCACCAGTTATCTTCAGTGAGTTGATATCTCTACAACAGACGTGGTTGAAATCCACTGGACACTGCTTCCCACTGGATCTCAAGGAAACATCTCTTGATAATAATTATAATACCTAGAAATAACCTAGACGTAATCTTCATGTTTTCAAGAATGAATCATACAAATATACTTTTATATTTCCAACAACAACAAAAGCTGTCTAAATCAGTTATAAATAATTAATTGCGAATAAAATAGTATTCTAATCTAAAAGAAATGGTCTTAAGTAAAATTAGTTTAAATTATTTATATTTATAAATCGAATCTTATTGACTTGATCCTTAAAGTAGTTAGCTTTCAAATAGGTAGATCTTATAAGCAAAGGTGGATAGCTCAGTAGCTATCTACTATCCATCTTTGCCTATAATGCTTGTGACTTTAGGCAATATCGAGGCAGTTCTTAAAGGATGGACATATGCTAATAAGAGACTAATCAATTGCAGTGCTAAATAACATTGTGAAGATACAAGTAAACGAAACCATGTGAATATAGGTATATATCAGATTCAAAATTAGTTTAATTTTAACTGACCATATAGTATAGTCAACCTTCACATGATTTAATTACAGTACAAAGTTGAGTATATATAATTTGTATTTAGTACACCAGGAAATCTATAAATAGTGGCTAGCAGTGGAATCCAAGAAGCGCAATTCGTCATATCTTGGACTCGTCAGCTGGATGTACCTGCATCTCAGAGCTGATGTTCACTATGAGACTCGAACCCAGTATCTTTCACTTCAAACTCCATTGCGTTATAAACTTATAAATATATTTAAAAATGAAAATAGGCTTGAAACATAAAACTTATTCATCAGTGAAAGTTTCATTCAATTTTGTATAGATATTTTGACAAAATTTCTGGCTTCAGTTTAAACAGAATAAATTGTTCGACAAATATTATTATTATTAGAAGGGGGTTTTGTGGAGATTTTGGTAATTTTATATAGTAGAGATCATGAGTCAATTGAAGCTAGAACACCATCTAAAACCGAGAAGCATTGGACGGCCGTTTCGTCCTATTATGGGACTCGTCACCAGTGCGCATCCACGATCCCGACTCACGAGATTCGAACCCGGGATCTACCAGTTTCGCTCCAAAGCACTTAACCGATAGACCACTGAGCCGGTATCCGATGGTGTTAATGTCTAACTTCAACCAATCCACGATGTTTTTGAGCAACCATTCACCAGTTGTCTTCAGTGAGTTGATATCTCCCGACAGACGTGGTTGAACTCTACTGGTTACACTGGTTTGCATTTAAATCTATTTCGAAAAACTATAGATAGACTGATATAGTTTTTAAATTTATAATATCTACGATAAAATCGTACTCATTAATAAATATATACTGTCTAGCTTCGAAAGAATTGATCTGAAGTTCTAGATGAAATCTGTACGGTTTTAGGAGTTATTTTATATCTGGAATGAACGAGATACTCATTGGTGATATTTAATTATAATCAAAAGATATTATGAATTAACTGTAATTGAAAAAATAATCAGTGAATTCTAATTCAATAGATCAATTTTATTATGTACTCTACGAAACCACATGGTCAAGAATTCCATTATACTGTTTCGAAGTTCAAAACGGGAACAGAATTAGCTAACCATAAATATTTGGACATATGATAATAGTTTAATGGCCTGGTACGGCCCAGAATGGAGGGAGTCTGCTCTCCCTCACAAAATGCTCTCACATGGCAATATGTATATAGCCTCTGCCATGGAAGTCCTACTCTCTACCTTCTCGTAGCATTACTGTTGTTTACGAAATCGAGAGGACAGAAAGCGAATGTCCGGCACTTTGACCGGGTTGCTGGACACGGAAAGTACACCTAGTGAAGTTGGAAAACCCTTGATTCCAAACCAATGGTTCACATCGGCTCCAGTATCCTGAGGAAACAAATGACGCATGAATCAATCGTTGGTCACCGGCTGCCATGGGACTGCATCTCCTTACGATGCTCCACTGTCTTTTGGATCAGACCTATAAGTCGAAGGCTCGGGGTGTGGCCCCATCGAGTTTTTACTGTATAACAACTTCAGTTTTTGACAAAACATAATTGGAAATTTAATAAACTTACATTTATTCAGCTCTTATAATATTAGATTGAACTAAAGATGATTAAAATGTTATAAGGTTAAACTTCATAATAAACACTTTCAAATGTACAATGAGTAGTAGTCAATTTTCCTGGTCTTTTTAATGCTGATAGAATTTTATCGATGAAGTTGCAATGGAACAACCGGTCTGAGTGACTGGACATCACTTGCACCATGTTTTGATGTTTAGTGCTAGGAAATATTGAGCAAGAAACCCTGAAAATAAATTTTCTGCTAGTTGGTACTCGTCGGTAATCCGTACATAGAATAATATAGAAACTGAAGCTTTGTGATCCGTCGACTTACTCGAGCCGCAGCCTGAATAACTCAGTGGTAATCTCTCTATCAGTGCTCAAATTTTACAAAAATTATCAATTCCCTCAAGATTACAGATATTGCTTATTGATAAGTGCTACGTAGCGTTAAAGACTAGGCACAGGTTTTGTATCGGCCACTTGAAATCACTTAACATCTCAACATAGTTTCAAAATATATGAATACAATTTTTAATTTTAAATGGAAAGAGAAAGGTAATTATCCACTGACAAACTTACCACTAATTGATTGGAAGACAATGATTCTGCTTCACTAGAATGATTTCCAATAGTTGAACAACATTTAGGCGGATTCATTATTACATTCGGATATGTTCTAGTTATATAAGGAGTAATAATAGGTATTGGTACAAGAACTGGTAATGGAAGTGAATATGGCATTGTATTATTTTGTCTTAAATCTAAAACATCCTTTTCTTCAGAATAACTTAAACTAGTACTGTCACCAGAACTAACATCGAATTGATTGTGTTGTTGTTGATGTTTAATTTTTTTCTCCTTCGTCTCCATTTCCAATTCTCTTTGTGTTCTTTCTGTATCCGTATCGCTTGTTTCATCAATATGATCATGTCTATATGGAGAATGTTTAATATACTTATTATTCGACATATATTCGAAATCTTCATTTTCTGCATTGATTTCATTTAGATTAGTATTGGCATATTGCCACCAAATATTTTTAGGTTTCTCTTTGGATCCTATATATTGTGATCGATGTATTCTACAACATTGATTATTACTGATATAGTTTTTCACAGCGTTATTAGTAGTAGTGGTAGTGATAGTAGTAGTAGTAGTAGTAATAGTAGTAGTAGTAATAGTAGGATATCTATATGATGAATATTGATTTAGGGTTACACAATTATTTAATTCGGCCAGGATTTATTTTTTGCTTACAAAGAACATTCCAGTTTCCAATTTATGGCAATTAGGTAAAGAAATAAATTAACGAATGAGATTGAGAACAGATTTGATAGAAGTAAATACGGGAAATAATCCATTGGCCTCTCTCTCTACACACACACGCACAAAGGCAAACAAACAAGCAAAAAAACACAATTTATATCCAATTTTATTGATATATGTTGTTGAATGAAAAGAAATTATAAAAATCTTTCTTAGAATATAGAATGAATAATTTGGGAATAAATACCTAAACTTTTGACAGTTAATTGACCAATAGAAATTGAGGAGGTGATTAACCAATCAGAGTAAGATATTTAAGCAAATAAGATGGTTACCAATTCAATTATCCTTAAACTTTTTTTCTAAAGTTTACTTGTTTCTGTATAACTTTAAACCAATTAAGATAATTTCCGAGGTAGTAATAAGTTTAGTGTAAATTATGTAAATTAAAGTACTGAGGAGAATAATAATAAGATAATGACTGATAACTAATTAGTAATAACAGAAATAATAATGATAATATGATAAAATAAATAAATGTATGTCATGAGTCAGTTGAAGCTAGACCACCATGGAAAACCTGGAAACACAAGACAGCCATTTCGTTCTATTATGGGACTCTTCAGCAGTAAGTATCCACGATCCCGCCTAGCGAGATTTAAACCAGCACTGCTGAGGAGTCCTACAATAGGACGAAATAGCCGTCTTGTGCTTCCAGGTTTTCCATGGTGGTCTAGTTTCAATTGACTCATGATCTCAACTATATGAAATTACTAAAACCTTCACAAAACCCCCTTCTAAAAATGTATGTCAGTTAACTTTATGGATATTTTAATAACTGTTTATCAATAATTCTATTATTCAGTTCACAGAACAGATTCAGTTTTATGTTTTTTTCGTTATTACTACTTATTAGTAAGACTAAAGAACATGTAAACTTTCTGTTCATTTTTCATTAATAGACAACACAAGAAAACTGTCTAAAACTAGTGTAGTGAACAGAAACTCAGATAGGGAGGACTCATTTATTGTTTAATGCAAAAGTACAGGGTGCTTTCATAAAATATGAAAACTATACATTAAAAATGCTTCATTTGTACATTTCCCATCAACTGTTTCGTATAAACCTCTTCGTACCTTCATTCCTGTTCTTATTATAATAATTCTCTGTTTACATTCCCGTTCACTTCAATTCAATCTTCTCAACCTTCTGCTATCATGTATTTCACTTCTGAATGGTGTTACATATTACTTTAAGTTTATCGACATAATTAGCATAAATCACACTAGTAGTACTGGTAAAACACTTGATACTCAAGTGTTTATGAAATGGGATTGAATTAAACAGCTGAATAATATTGCTAATCTATTGAACGTTCGTTCAGCTTTTTCATCTTGTTTTTATTATCCTTCAATCAGTACTTCATCAAGTTTTTATCGACTGCTTATAAGGTGTATGAACATAATGGTAGCGAAAATTTTGAAAACGTAAAGTTGAACAAAGAATATTGATTAAGTTTTTACAGGGAATTATCATTGTCAAAGAATGTAATTTCAGGTTTATGTACTTGTGAAATCGTTGAGTCATTTTCCATTTATACTTCTCGACTCCGAATGTCCTCGTACACGCTACTACATATACTCCTACCCCAGGTCATGATATATATTCAGACTAGATGTAAACGAGCTAAAGACTGAAGTCTATTGTACAATTTTAATACAATATGGTGAATTACTTGAAGAGACTCTAAGTCCAGGGAGAAAATCAAAAGATCTTTTGTAGTACAAAAAGATTTAAAGAGGAAACAAACAGAGATTTTAAAATATCAACTGTCTAGATAGACAGAAAAACTTCTCATACTATAGAGTCATTGATTATCTTTCGTATGAGCCACCTGACTAGTGAATTCCTTGAAAATAAACCGGTATATTAAACTACTTCAAATAATTCATCTGGTATTGCTTGTTTGAATCTTCGCATTGATGTTTATGACAGCAACTGGTCAGTCTCTTTTTGGCCTATGTGCATACTGACTGACCAGTTGCTGTCCTAAACATTCATGGGAAGATTCAAAGAAACAACATTAAGTGAATTTAAACTTCACCCCTTTTGCACAAGCAACTGACTATCAGAACTCAGAATTTAAGTGAATAATGTGATGGCATTTGAAGCGAGCGATACTGGGTTCGAGTCCCAGAGTAGACATCAACTCTGAGATGAAGGTACATCCAGCTGACGAGTCTCGAGTAGGACAAAACGCTAATCACTATCCATCTTTGCTTGTAATACATCAAATAATATTTTTTTTAGTTTATATACTTCTATGAAGCAAGGTATATTGTCCATTCAAATATGTATCCTTTATTCAATAATAATAATAACAAATAAAATAGCTCTTAAAAGAAATCCACACAACATTCAATTCTACCTCATTATTCATTTAAAATACATAAATAGATAGAAATACAATTTTCTTCTCAAAAAAAAATAATAAAACCGGAAGTAGTTGACATCCAATTCAAAAATAATAAAGTATGTAGTTTATCCTTAAGAATAAGAAAAAAAATAGAGAAAAAAAAAGAGAAACATAACTATAACAATGATAAAATTACTCTGATTTCAATTCCGGAAATATTATTCAATCAATTTAGATTCATTTTAAAGGGGGGGGAAGGGGGTAAAAAAAATTTTTTTAAAAAAGAAAAGAAAAAAAAAGGAGAAAACCGTGAATGTAACCAGGAGTAATAAATTCACTAGGATGGAAAGTTCAGTAACAGGTTTTATTTTACAATTTTTGATTAATAATGTTATTATTATTGGTTAAAATAATTGCTAAACTTAAATAAAGAGGTATAAAATGTAAGAAACTTCTTATAGTTCCTTATTGGATTTAATAATCAATAAATACATTATGCAACTCCTTATTTCATAATTTGTTATTATGATTCAATGTCATTGATAAGATATTTCCGGAATAAACTAATCTGAATGTAACGTATTAAATGGACAAGATATTTTATTATAATAAAAAGGATTTTTTAATCCTTGAACAGAACTAGTTAATTGTTGCTTTCAATCAGATAGGTATGTTTTTTTCTTCTCAAGAATAATACCAACAAAAAAAAAACTTGATTGAGTTAAAACATATCAATATATTTGTAATGTGTGTGTGTGTGTGCATGTGCAGGTGTCATGGATAAACGTTGCTATGGAGATGAAGAACGTGTTTATTTGAATAGATTCGATAGAAATTTTAACAAGTTTCTTTCATTTTTTTTGTTGTTGTAAAATATAGGTATATAGATCTAAGAAGAAAGAAGAAAGAAAGGAAGATAAAGTTAATGATTGTAGTACAATGAATTTGAATATATTTAAATCATTTTTAAAGTTGTAACCATCATATTCATAAGAAAGCATAATTTACTTTAAGGAAAAGATACTTAGCATATATATATATATACGATTGTACAGCTTTGAAATGAACTCGTTTATAATTGACTTATCTGTTGAAGTAGTTAAAACAAAAGATAAGCTTCCTAATGAATGCTCAATTATAATAATAGGTATGACTGTTTAACAATACTGATCCAACATTATTGAGATTTGTTAACTGAGTAAACGTAATACACAGTGATTTTTTTCGATATAGAGTTCGTGTTAGCTGGTACTCTCCTGTAAGGATTCGACTGATGTCCTGTAGAATGGAAATTTTAATGTTTGTTGATCTTTTAATGATGAACAATATTATGTTTCGCTTTTTTATGTTGACGAGTTCTGGAATCTCACAGCAATCACCAGTCTCCTAACATTGAATATACACCTTTTTGATGAGTCTTACCTCGTACGAAACTTAAGTTGAAGGTTTCCTACCACATAAGGACATTCATCTTGTATTAAAATTTACTGAAGGCAATGCTCAGTTTGAATTAGATTACAGCATACAAGTTCAAAGAATCTCTTTTATAAAGCGGCTATTGTCTACTGTTTATAATCCACATCACACAAACAGATACATTCACCTACTTATTTACTTACTTTCGACTGTTACTCTCAATGGAGCATAGGCCACCGACCAGCATTCTCCAACCCACTCTGTCCTGGGCCTTCCTTTCTAGTTCTATCCAACTTTTGTTCATTCTTCTCATGTCTGACTCTATTTCTCGGCGTAATGTGTTCTTTGGTCTTACTCTTCTCCTTTGGCCTTCAGGATTCCATGCGAAGGCTTGTCTTATGACGCAGCTAGGTGCTTTCCTCAATGTGTGTCCTATCCACTTCCAGCGCTTCTTCCTGATTTCTTCCTCTGCTGAAATCTGGTTTTTTCTCTACCACAGTAGGTTGTTACTGATAGTGTCTGGCCAACGGATTGGAAGTATTTTGCGTAGATAACTGTTGATAAACACCTGTACCTTCTGAATGATGGCTTTTGTATTTCTCCAGGTTTCCTCCCCATATAGTAGAACTGTTTTCACATTTGTATTGAACAGTCTGATCTTGGTGTTGTTTGACAATTGTTTTGAGTTTCAGATGTTTTTCAGTCGTGAATATGCTGCTCTTGCTTTGCCGATCCGCGCCCTCACATCTGTATCAGATCCACCGTGTTCATCAATGATGCTGCCCAGATATGTAAAGGTTTCCACATTCTCCAAAGCTTATCCGTCAAGCGTAATCCGATTGGTGCATGTTGTATTGTATCGAAGAGCCTTGCTTTTCCCTTTGTTTATATTGACACCTACTGCAGCTGAGGCTGCTGCTACACTAGTAG